TCATACTCCACAATAATAGCCAACGTTTAATAATCAATTCCCATCTAGCCGTCGCGTGGTGTGTTACAAACGCTTGCAGATAGCAATCACTGGGTAGCAAGTTAATCTCTTTCACTGCACGGCGAAACAATTAAAAATCCCAGGCCCGACAACGTCATAATCAGCGCAATATGCGGAATACGAAATTTACGACTACACGCCTTCGAAACAATAACGAAAAAAGTATAGCCAAAGAAAAGAAAGGAAAATGAGGCCAACGAAACTTCCGCGTGTGCATGTGTATATGAGCGACTTTGCATAACGCACAGCGATCGACCAGATTAATGCGTGAAATTGTATCGGAGGTTCTCAGCCGAGAGGGTCTCCTTTCTATTTTCGCATTTTCCTGACACGTCAAATTGGCTCGTTCGTTAGCAAGGCATTTTACTCCTGTGGCATGTTCGCGAGCAACGGAGCTTTGTTTGATTGGCTTGAACGCTGCAGAGAAAAGTTGTTGCCGCGCGTAATGATGATCTGCTTGATTTGATTTGAGGAAATTTGCTTGCTTTACAATCAACTGTTTGAATGAAGTTATAACCCTACTCTCTCAATTATCGACATAGGTTCGTCTTCGTTTTCTTTACCCTTCGCGTTTCAAAATTTCTCTTAGCCTTTCCGGTATTATCGGCCATCGAAATGGTTCGTTATGAAAAATTAATGCTTTAAATGCATCAATGCAACTGACTAAGACTTTATTAAGAACGATCTTTAAATAAAGCTTAAATTGAATGTTTAATTCGACTAAATTGGCTCCCCTTACTAGAAACAACACACCATCCCCCGAGCAAATGTTTTCTCACGTTTCATCGCAATATGAAGAAAAATTCTGTACTCCATCGTACACAGGAAACAAAGAAGCAGCTTGTTAAAAAGAAGCATAAAACAACCAGGCAAGTTATTCGGCAATCTTCGAGAGTCTGTCGTTATTCTAAGCGCGCGGGAGTCTAGTGCGGTGCCTGCCGCGTTATTTTCTAATAAATGAAGTCGCTTCTCATCCAAGAGGACACGAATTCTGAAAATTCCCGGACGAGATGCATTTCTCTTTTGTCGCGCCTGGATTCCGTCGTCTTCCTCTTTTTTTTCTCCTTTTGGTCTTCCGTCGACAGCAAATATTCATCGGCGTTTAAAGATCTCCGTCTTTTCAATTTTTTTTATTCCTCTCGTCGCAACGTCGGCAGAAGGTATATTAAAGGAATATTCGATCTTTGCGTGTACTGAAGTCAAAGTGATCCCACGAATCTCATAAATGATAGGACCGGAGTGGAAGGTGGAGGGAAATACTTGTCAAGCTTCAGTTTTGCTATCGGTTTTTCGTCAGATGCACATATATCACGTTTGTTCGTTGCACGCGTTATTGAAAAATTCTTCAAACACGAACAAGTGTCTTAAAAAGCTCTTCTGTGAGCTATTATCCCACTAAAACTGCTCGCTTATTCATCGGAGAAGAGCCACTGCGAGGGAGTCGTAAACTCTTGGGCTGATACTGGTGGCGCGGAATAAATCATTACTCTGGCGGAGCTGATTAAAAACTCGGGGAGGGAGGAGCCGTAAAATTTTGCTCGTAAAAGGGTATCGCGGGAGAGTGGCAGAGAGGGAATATTCCAATATGCCCGATAATGCAATTTACGCGCCCGACGACTGCAGCGCGCTCTATAAATTTTTATGATGATCAGGTAGGCGGTGCCCCAACGTATATACAAAGGAGTAGAAATTCTTCGTTGCTCGCTATTTTTTTCTTGTCTTCAGCGCTTCGGGAATCACAAATAGAGGGACGATAGACGTGGCAGGAATCGAGCTATATTGTCGTGCGTTACGCTCGATTGATGTACCTACTCCGCTGGGAAGATAAAGAAGATACTCGAGAGAGAAAGTTTTGCCGATGATGGGAGTAGGTTTCATGGGGTGAGCTTTTAATAAACGATAATGGATGTTTCGATTTTATTGCTGTGTACGTGGTGTCGTTACCTGCGCATTAGAAAAAAGCTAACATCGCTTTTTTATCAAACCTTTTATTATGAATTTTATTTTAATACTTTATTAGCAAATTAAAGTGGCAGTACGAAATACTAACATATGGTATTTTTTCAATCACAATAGCAATACTGTATTCATGAGTTTTTTATGTTCTAAATGTGTATATAATGATTTATCCATAAGCTTGATTAATTTTCAAGCCAAACAAACAATAATAAATTGTATTGAATATTGTAACGTATCTACGATCCTGATGTATACTCCTCGTTAAAATTTAGCTTCGCGGCTACTTCGTGCATAAATTGAATTTGATTTGAGGATAAATCTCTAATCTACGAAAACATTGCCAAGTGACTGAAAGTTTTTTTAGACAATTCATATTTAGAATATTAATATAGTTATTGGGCGCTAGATACTCTTCGTAATTCGATACTATAATATGATCGAAAGAAATGCAGTCGGAGTGTTGACTTTTGTAATCAAATACTTTCTTGCTTGTACTATTTACAAAAACATATCATCTTTTATATCCTTTTTTTATGGGAATTTTTAAGGCAAAAATTTAGATAAGGCGAAAACGTCGTATTCGCTAGGAATTAATTTCCATTCGATTATTTTTCATAAACTCATTCTAGATATGCCCCTTAACAAAAATCGGGAGTTTACCGGTTGGAAATGTACAAAATTATTTAAACTAATTGTTTGTTAACAATCGCTAACATTTTTTTTCCGGAATAATATATTTTTAGATTTGTTGAACCGTTTTAAATCGGAAAGGTTCCTTGTCATTTTTTTCGTAAAGTTGGCCGTTCCAGAATGATAAATAATTTAATGTTCGAAGAAATGCTAAAACGGTCATTTTCAAGGCTGAACAACAATATTATTAAAGTACATTTTTAAGTTAGCCAAAGCTCCCTATAAATGGTATAACATTCCTTAACACGGAAGAGTATTTATAGCTAGTATTATTCTACACCTCTGTTATTTTGTTAAACAGATACAAGAGTGTGAGTATATGCTATTGAATATTTGCAAAGTTAAAAATTATCTAATTTATTTGTTACATTTACCATTTATATTTATGAGTTTTTGACGAAATCAATTGATTTATGAAACGATTACTAATAGTCACGAAAATGTAAGTAAAAGAAAAGCATTAAGAACGTACAAGCTACATAGTCAAGCAGGCAGTAATTAGCACGCGACTAAGCACGTGGTGCTCGTTGCTTAGAGCGTCTATTTAACTACTAAAAACAGCTGTACAATATTACCAGTTATAACTGCGTTGTTTTATTAAAGAATGTTATAAGATTCATGGAAAATTTTGGCAAACTTAAAATTTAATCTGTTAATATTATTTTTCAGCCTTGAAAGAAGTTGTTTTAGTCTTTTCGAACATTAAATTTTACTATACTATTAACTTTACAAAAAAATTATAAGAAGCTTTTTCGATTTAGAATGTTCTAAAAAATTCAACAAAATTATTTCAATAAAAAAAGCATTTTTAATAATCGTTAACAAACAAATTAGTCATTATCACGACATTGTCATCCGGAAAATTCTTGATTCGTATTACAGGAATCCAGAAGTGCTTCATAAAAATAATTGAATAAGAATTAATTTCTAGCAAATGCAAGGTTTTTGCTTTGTTAATTCTAAATTATGTAATTTAGAAAAATAAATACAATAGTAAAATTTTCTTTTGATAAAAAAAAAGAAAAAAAGAAATCCTCTCCAGCGGGGAATCGAACCCCGGTCTCCCGCGTGACAGGCGGGGATACTGACCACTATACTACTGAAGATGTTGAAATCTGTCACCTGGCTAATTCCTAAAATTTCTCAAAATCTTTTCCGCTATCTGTACGCCGTAATACCTTACTTAGTCATAGGATCTGCGTGAATTTCGCGTTAACTTTCAACATCCAATAATTATTTCCTATTATTTTCCATAAATAAACCATTTATACTATGGGTTAGATAAAATTCTTGTCGACTTTGAAACAGAGAGAGATCCTGTATTTGATCTGAATTATTTTTCTTTTTATATTATTAACTTTACTAAATTATAACTACGAGTAATTGCAAAAAAGTGTATTATTTAGAAAAATTGCAAATTTTGAAAAATCAAAAAAAGTTTCAAAAAAATCTGAAAAAATTCCTATGTCCCTTGGTCAATTTTAAATCTTTTATCAGTAAAATTTTTTCCTAAAGTTCTTCGTTTTCAATTTAAACTTTTGAATGACATACAATTTAAACTTTGAGTGTGCTTAAACTTTTTATTATCCAATCTAAATCACTATATCTTTTAGTTTAGGTATCGAGACCACGATATTTGCTTAAAAATCATCAGATTTTAAATTATTTCCATGTAGAAAATCGAAGAAAAATAAAAAATTTTTTAAACCACGTTTTTTTTTTTTTTTTTATTTTATAAAATCAGGTAACTTTTAATCTGTTCATTTTTTCGAAAATCTGAGGGAAAATTCTGAAAGATCATTATATTTTACATTGAAATTGATTATTCAAAAATTTTTTGGACCCCATTCCACCGAAAATACAGTGGCCGAAATAAATGGCGAAAAAATGCCCTACCGAGACATAATGGGTTAAGATGTTATATTGTGAAAAGTAGTACGTCGAATCAATTGAAACTAACTTGTAGTATTTTTTTAACATTTTAATAATGTATTGATTGATATAGAGATATTCTATAAAAAAAGTTAGTCATAATCACATATGTCCATTAAAGAAAATTGAATGGTACGCAACTGTTGATTCCATTTATCTAAAAATAGAAAATAAGTATCGATGAATGTGAAAGATTTATTTTTTAGCAACCAGTTCAGCAGCTCGAAAGTAACATTTTTCGGCCGCGATTTGGTCGGTAACATGCTAATTTCTGCCTTGCTACGTAAAAAAATAGTATACGCACCATGATCAGCCCATAGTTTTACCTCAATTGTCAGTATTCATGCGCTATAACTTACCGATACTTTTCCAGCCTCGATACGTAATATACTATTTCTAGATCTCCTATCGAAAAGTACTATTTTCTGGTCTACTTTCGCTCAGAAAGAACAAATTTTATGGAAGTCACAGCCAGCGCGTTTCTGATTAGCGGAGATATTTTGCCGGCACGTCGTCCTCTAATTGATATTTTTGTGTAAATTACAATTTTAATCATTTTCTTATTCACTAAAAGTTTTTATTGACCGTCACGATCGGTGAAAGACGTGCGACCTTTTCCATACAACTGTTTAGACATACTAAGATAGTCAAGAAGGAGAGAGACGCTACTACGTGAGAGCAAGACATAGTAGATTACGTACTTAGGATAGTATTAGTACGTTCATAGCACGTGAAAATTGACAAACAAGACAAATCCGAGGTTGTCAGTCACGTGATATGGAATTGCAATTTCCCGACCGTTGTACTTATACTATTTTTTGCCCATCGAGGTCGAAATTGCAATGTTATCGACCGAGCCGTAGTCGGGAAATCTTACTTTCAGGTCGCTGGACAAAAAATAATGAAAATGACTAAGGGGACGCGCTCTAAGTTGAAAGTGACGTCAATGACGACCGAGAAAGCGCATTATATTTATATATATACAAATTTTGTATATATAAGTAAATAAACGTACTTATCACCGGGTATTTAGAATTGTACTTATGATACTAAGCCCGAAAGTTACATTTTCGGATTATGTGTCGTAATGTAACTATTAGCTATGTAGTTTTTTTAAATTTCGTCTTTAACAGTTTTGGTATTTCAGAGTCGTAAACGAAATATTAATTAACAAGAGGTGAGCGCGTGAAAAGCACTTGACAGCATTAATAAATAGTATATTACGACATGTGTTACTTAGTAGCTCATTATTACAGGGCATCACTCTCGCTTGTACTTGGAAGCTAATATCACGCCGTTCAATAATAGAGTAATTCAGTCACTAGTATCGTACGACATTTTATAGCACTACCCAGTTTAAATCAATACTTATGGTTCGTCTATTCATTATTTAAGATAGACCAGTTTTTTACACTGAGGTTATGGCATGAGTGCCAACGAATTCTTTAAGGAGGTTCAGGACAGATACCAGGGGGGTTGGGGTAAGGGGAAAGTGCCTATGCTTTAACATAGAATGAAATCAGTGGCACAAACTGTAGATAACTGAATTCAATGTTCTGTATTATTGTACTTAGATGAGTATGAACTGGTAAAAATGGTGAGAATTGAACAATCATCACAAGTATCTACTCCTAATATGCGTTAGTCGTCAATTTTTATGTTTTTATTTGAATTATGAAAGTACGAATTAGAGGTAACGATCTGGTAACATAGCATACTTCGAAATTTATTTTTCTTAAGTTGTCTGCACTGCGCATGCGTGCACAGAGCAGGCGAGTGACACGACACGAGGCGTTTGGAGCAGCTGCGTGTACCTATCCTAACCTCCAGTTGTATTGGTTATTTGAAACGACAATAAAGCGTTTTCAATAAAATATTTATTCCATTAATGTATTTTGAATTCAACTTAAATTAATAAAAAAAATCATAATGTTGAATAAGTTTGGTCTAAATCATTTGAAAATTAATTCAATTTCAATTCATAATAAATATAATCATATCTGCTTTGCAATACCGGCTACGGTAAATATATGTATCTATATAGTGTTTGCGATGTTGACGCACTTCATTAGTTAGCACCGTGAGCTTAGATTAAGCTAGAAAATTTTTATACTAAAATTACTATTATTTAATCGGAATCACGGTAAGCCATGAGTTTAAACACATAAAAACAATCATCGATTAATTCTCTTTTAAACCGTCTTTACAAATTCAAAATCTGTGCTTTTTTCATCAAGTTATTCCCATAAGATGAAGTCAATTTACTCATTTACACGAGAAGTCTATTTAAAACAATGCTAACTATACGCATTAATTTCTCCAAAACTACGCGGTCAAAAATTTTGAAAAAAATCAGACATCAATGTTACGTCATACTCTACCATAGTTTTCAATTTCATGAAAATCTGTGCATTTTCATGACACTCCTGAACCTCCTTAAGCAAATATAATTAAAGTTTGAAAGTTAAAGTCAAACTATTTTGAAAGCTATATATAGACAATTCAGTAAACTTGATATACTACAACAAAATTTGAACAAATAATTATGCTTTTTTTATAATTATAAATTTGCTTTTATATCTTTATCAACAAATTACATCGCATTATATATTTGGATCATAATACAATGCTAATATCGAAAATAATATAATCGGAATATTTTTCGTTGAAAAAAAAAAGAATATAAAATCATACTACAATATGAAATTGATTTATTGTTTGTTTTTGTGTGTGTGTTTAATTGATTTGTTCATAAAAACATTACACCATAGTAACAAAATGTATGTAAAAAATCGTACCATTGAAAATTGTACAAGTTAAGTGAGTTAAATCTTAATCATGTATCAATTGAAGGGTCGTTGTTTTTTTTTTATCTTGTTCGTATTTCGGGTACTGTCACTCTTGAGCCACGTATATCTTTCATTATTTGGACTATGGAATATTTAAAAACTGAAGTTGATTTGAAGTGAGTAGAATTATTTTACAAGTTTTGTGGCTAGTGCAGTGGTAAATAAGTGGAAGATAATTAGCGTTTTATATGTAGCTTTGATCATCTAGGACAGTCAAAGATTCTGGTGATAATCACCCTGTACGCTTACATTTTTCTAAATAATTTTCATCGAATAATTTGAAATGTAAAATTCATCTTAATATTGCCTGTTTAATTTTATAGTTAAATTATCTATGTGCTATATATTCGTCTCTTTGTATCGTTGTTGATTGCTTATATGACGCTGGTATTGTCGAATTGCTAAGCCAGGTGGGGTGGAAGAGCTTAGGCAACACGATCGACGACAGCGCGGATTTAAGTCTTAAGATGATGAAGAGAGAAGGAGCTGGTGTCTGGTGAGAACTCTACATAAATCGAAATACGGTCATGTTTAAATTCATAATTTATGTCGGTCTATTATACGCAAAGTATAATTTCTTTTCTTGATTTAGATTTTAATTACCTACGAATATAACAATTTTATCAACTATTTAATTGCAACTTTTTTTTCCAAATATGATAGATATTTTTGTGAAGATTCCATTTGACAATAGCAATTTCAATGGATCACATCTTATGGAGCATGCACTTTCCGAAATTATGTTAATCTAAACATATATCTTTCATTATCGAAATTGTTGTGATTCAGTTATTTCCTCCCCATGCGTGCCATAGTCGTCTCTCTTTCTCTCTGTTTGTTAACGCAGGTGTACCTGTTTGCACTTGCGCCACTCGTACACATTTCAATTGGTCGCTATATAGTTGTTTGTTCAGTTCTCTTTATATATAATCCGACTGTGCATATATCCCTCCGATTGGGGTCTCTTCACTTTGTTCTTCTTTTGCAGATTAATCTAGGTGGGTGAAATTTTGATTTCATTATAAATCACGTTATCATTGAATCGTTATATGGAAAAGCGATTGCTTGAGACGACGCGACTTTTGCTTAGGAATTGGTTGGACAAACAGGTCTCCATCCTCCTCTGCCTCTCTCTCACTGCCGCAGGCCACCAAACCAAAAATCCACGCGTAGCTTCTTGGGCGCGAACTTGCGGCGACGCCAAGTTATGGCCACTGCGCACGGCGCTGACATTGTTTGAGTTACAAGTTCCGCGGGTTACCACAGCTTTGCCCCCTCGTCTTTCCTTTACGGTTTTTCCTGCGTCAAGACTTTAATACGATAGATCCGTGTGAACGCAGACAGTAAGTCCCCATCTTCTCGCGGATTTTCCAGTTTCACGCTTTAGTTTGATGAGCTTGCCATTTGAATGCTTGAATTGGTACTTGGTTTGTTACGCAACAATGAAAGCATGTACGCTTCTTGATCGACTTTGTTGCGGCCGCAGCTAATTGTGTGGACTGTGAATCGTCGATCCACTATCACGTTGGCGATCTGCCAAAATGAATCGAATTCAATTAAATTTAAGGTTCTTTCAACGTACTGATAGTATTTGCAATCCACTGTGCATGAATGTTGAAATATACGAATTATTATTGCGAAACTGAATTTCATGCCGAATCCTACTCTAATGCAATTAGCAAACTCGATAGGGCTATCACTATTAACATTCAATTATTCACATACTAGTGTCAACACACTCGCTTGCACACACATCCATTACTCATTGTAGGATTATGGGGTCAGTTGTTTGATTAAAATAAAATCAAAAAGTATAATTTTATCTGAAAGACAATGTGCAATTCAATACGCACAAGGAAAGACACGTCTTTACGAAAGTACTATACCGTCAGTTTAAGACTAAAGAATTATAAGATACTCATGTGACAGTTTGAAGGTTTTACGACTTGCTCTTAATGTCGGTTGCAGCGATTTTGCTCTCAAACTATACAGATTTATAGTTGTCACAATTTTATGGCTTTTTTGGGAAATCGTGAGCAAAACGAAGATTGAAAGTTGTACTGCGCTGTGTAAAGCAGATGAGCATTCCAACACCCGTTGATACCATCGTAATCTTGTGTACCTTACCATACCAAAAAAAATATTTACCAACGAAGATAATTTGGTGGAAGCAAACGTGAAAAGAGAAAGCACCGCTCGAAAGCTTGTCTGTTACAATTTCTCGTGCTTCCGATCACAAAGTACCGAGTCAAAGGAAAAAAAATGAAAACGTTGTCAAACGTTCGAAGAATTATCGTTGGCACTTTGTTTTCGTAGATGTCTTTTGAAATGAAATGGCTTCACCGTCGACACACTATACAGAGACGAATGCATTGTGCGAGTAAAAGCGTATCGAAAAAAAAAGGAAAGAAGGGACTCGCGCTTGTCAGCGTCGGTTTTAGCGACACAGTCGCTCGCGCTCGTAGTCGTTGTAAATTAACGAGAAACTCGCGCGTGGAGTGCGCCTCTCTTGGTTTTTTACCTTCCGTTTCGAGCTTTTATTTTGTTCTCCGTGCCTCTCTGCTGCGACGAGGCGTTGAATTTCTAGATTTGTCAGGCGCTTTATCTCGTGAGTAGGTCTTTTGTCGGTTTTGCCAGGCACCCAGTAGATTTTTGTAATGAGTTCAGCTGCTGCGCTGTTATCAAGAGAAGTCTTTGGCTAGTTGCAGAGCGTTGCGCGGAAATTTCGAAAGGAATTACAGAATACTGTGAAATTTTT